AAGCCTACCCTAACCCTCCCCAAACCCTCCCTACTGCGCACCCCTTCTGCGCAGATTTGGATCGCGTGATCTATGACGTCACTTCCGGTTGTGGGAAAATGATGAGTCAACAGTTTTTGAAAAAAAAATTTTTGTATAATAAAAAGGATCCTATCCCTTCAGTTCCCAGGTCCTGGAACAAGTTGTCATTCTTATTTTAAACCCTTTGGGTTTGAAAAAGCTGAGTCAGCAGTTTTGAAAATTTTTTTTTTCTGTATATAATAAAAGAATGACAACTGAAAGGACACCGGGAATTACTGAAAGGTTGAAGGGATGGTACAACTGGCTAACCACCCACGTACCATAATCCATCATGAAAGGCGTGTCCGACGCTTTTAACTCCATGCGGAAGAAGGTTGTAAAACTGTACAGCGGTAGAGAGGAAGAAGAAGATCAGTGGTACGACGCAAGGGAGAACTTTAGTGATGAGGATGAAGAGTGGTACGACGCCAATCCGGAAGAGAACCTAAAACCCATCCTAACCAAGCACGGCATAAAAAAGAAGGTAAGGAAGTATGTCATCAATCCTAACGGATCGTACGATACGGTTCACTTCCTCGATATCACAAGGGACGAGGTTGAGGCGCTCATAAATTCTGAAACAGAACCGAGGAACGTAAGCATGTCTCTAGCATGTGAGATGGTAAGGAACGATCCGAAAACTGAGGAAGAAGTATCCGTCGTCGCACACTTCAGATCAAAAACCCACAAACTCATCGGTATAGATGACACGGAAGAGCCTCTTAACACCATGAAGGAAAAAATGCTAAAATCCTTTTCCGAATACCAGAAGCGTGGTAGCAGGTGGAGGCTTCGGAGGGTAGATCTGCTCGAAATTCATATCGGAGAATACCAGCCGTTAAGGGGAAGAGGCTATGAACCATTATCAAAGACAATCAGGGAGAAGAAGGCGATCATCAATATGAAGAACGACGACGAAGAATGTTTTAAGTGGGCTGTGACCCGCGCATTAAATCCCACAGAAGACCATCCAGAAAGAATTACAAGGATTCTTAGAGAACAAGCCGAGGAACTAGACTGGGAAGGGATAGAGTTCCCAACACCCCTAAACAATATCAAAAAGTTTGAGAGGAACAACAATGTCGGTGTTAACGTGTTCGGGCTTGACGGAAGCCATAAGGTATGTCCCTTACGAATATCCAGTAATACCGATTCCATAAATCTCTTTCTGTGGAAGAACCACTATAGTGTCATCAAGGATATGTCAAGACTCGTAGGCTCACAGATAAATGAAAAGAAGAACAAAAAACACATCTGCAACCGTTGCCTCAACGCATTCGGATCGAGCGAACTTTTGGAAAGACATCTGAAGTTATGTTCGAACAATAACTATCAGAGACACGAGTATCCAGAACCCGGTACTACTACGGAGTTCAAAAATTACGAAAGAATACAGACCGTTCCGTTTGTCATCTATGCAGACTTCGAATGCTACATCGAAGGGATGGACACGGTTGAGCGAAACCCCAACAGATCAAGTACCACTCAATACCAAATGCACAGCCCCAGCGGATTCTGTTACTACGTCAAGTGTTTCGATAATTCCATTTACGGACCCAAGCTGGTACACTATACTCAACAACACGAGGGAGAAGATGTTACCAAAGAGTTCGTGGATATGTTGGAAGAGGAAGTTTATGATATATACAACAGGTTTAAATTCAAGGAACCTATCAGGATGTTCTTCGAAGATATCGAAAATTATGAAAGGGCAACTGTCTGTTATGCGTGTAGGAAGGAATTCACTACGAAAGACCACAAGGTTAGGGATCACTGCCATTATACGGGAGAGTACAGGGGTGCGGCACACAATACGTGTAATTTGAGAATGAGAAGGTCAAAATTTATCCCGGTACTTTTTCACAACCTCGAAGGATACGATGCTCATCGATTTATCAGAAACCTTGGTGTAAGTAGTGGAGACATCAAGTAGAGAAGATAGAGGTTGCTAGGTTTACCAATGAAGATGGAAAGGAGAAGAAGGTCATAAGAGAGCTAAGATTCCTCGACTCATTTAAATTCATGGCTAGCTCCCTGGACAAGCTCGTCAAGGGTTTGGGTAAGGACGACTTCAAAAATTTGGATTTGATGTTAGGTCGTAAAACTAAGGAACAGAGGGAGTTGCTCAAACAGAAGGGTGTTTACCCTTATGAATATATAGATGGTTTTGACAGGCTTGAAGAAACATCACTCCCACCGAAAGAGAAATTCTTCAGCAAGCTTAACAACGAAAACATAAGCGACCCGGATTATGAAAGAGCCTGGAACGTATGGAATACCTTCAACATGAAAACCATGAGGAACTATCACGATGTGTACCTGATAACGGACGTCCTCCTCCTGACAGATGTGATGGAAAACTTTAGAAAGGTTTGTAAGACCAACTACGGATTGGATCCAATGTGGTACTACACAGCATCCGGGCTGGCATGGGACGCTGCGCTGAAGTTAACCGGTGTGGAGCTGGACCTCATATCCGATCCGGATATGCACCTATTTATCGAAAAGGGTATTCGAGGCGGGATCAGCACAATTACCAAAAGGTATGCCAGGGCAGATAATAAGTATATTGAACTTTCCAAGAATAGGACCCGGTTGGAAAGGTTTAAAAGGTGGATGGGAAAAAAGCTTTCCAATCTATCAACCGTAATCATATCTATGCTTAACATGGTTATCACAATCATTACCGGTACGAAACCGGTGGTTGGTCACGACGATGAAGGGCGGTCTGCATACCTCTCCTATACGGACGCGAACAACCTGTACGGATGGGCAATGAGTCAACCCCTACCCATCAAGGACTTCAAATGGATGGATGAAAAGGAACTGGGGAAGTGGACAGACTACGGATGCATCCTCGAAGTGGATCTAGAATACCCTGATGACCTACACGACAAGCACAACGAATACCCCCTTGCACCCGGACGAATAACGGTTAATGAGGTGAGAAAGCTCGTTCTAAACCTCAACGACAAGGAAACAATACGTTCTTCACCATAAGAACTTAAGAGGCTGTCTCCCTAAGATCCACCTACTGACTCTCGCGTTGAAAATTATTTTCCCTTCATATTTCTATTATTTGTTAGCCTTTGTTAGTAGGTAATAAATATGCATACATCTTTTGGATTCTTGTTTTATTTTTCACGTTTTGCTATATTTTCAATTTTGTGTCTGCCATGGCTATTTTAGACAGTTTCAGACGTAAAATTATCCATTTTCAAAGGAACTCCAGATATGTGTACGACATAATTTGATTTTGATTTTTGGGTCATTCGAATGATTTACATCTATACAACAACTGAACGGCAATGATTTGTATATATTACAGGAATTTTGGGTTTTTTAAAATTTTTTCTATCGCCAATTTCGACTTGCCGGCAAAATTGCGAAAATAACCATCTTTCAACTTTGTTTTTTTCAAAAGTGCAACCAGTTATACACCCAGACTAAACTGGAAATTATACTACAAATATTGTTCTATAATTATATGAAAAAACTTTTTGGGGGAAACAAACTGGTGCGCTCTGAATTTAAATGAAATATTTGCAAATTTGACGTGGCATTAACTACACTCGGAAATTATCATCTCAGTATGACATTGAACAAACAACTTATATAATATGTTTAAGACATTTGATCACGTCTATTTGACATTTCCAAAGAAAAAGAACATAATTTCACGCATCACTGTTTGTTTTCGCTAGCATACTTTTGAAATAGATAAAAACAAGCGTGTTCCTTGGTATAATTTCAATCACAAAAATCGTCAATTAAGGGTTTTCTGTATATTCATCCATTTTTATCAAATATTTATTGCTGTAGTATTAGCATAAGCATGCAATCACTCTTGTGAACATAAAATAACATACAAAAATTGACGGGGGCAAAAAATAAGAAACAAACAGCTAATAGTAAAGCGGGTTTTCCCCCAAGGTAGCTATTCAAATGTGCTGTGCTATTTTTAGACTGAATCATGTTCATTACATCATTCTCTTTTTAGAAACGCATGCTTAATAAATATAACGTACATGCACTGAATTCAACTTAAACTATTACTTTAAAACTGTCATGGATTTGCCTTGTTTAAAACTGTCATGGACTTGACTGTATTAATATCCTTGAATGTTCAGATGATGTGAGCACTCACTTGTCGAGATGTCATCAGTCAAGTGAAAAACTTTGCGAATATGAGCTTATTTTATTGCTTTGCGGCATCTTTGATATTTCCCATGATCAACTACAACAAATGAGAATTTGTCCCAACCATCGGTATAATTTGGGAAAATTCTCACGTCCATCACGTGTTTGCCAATACCCACTCCATACTGGTTCAAACTCTGCCGTTACGGGGAATCACGTCATAACACTACAGCTTACCAAAGACGCACATTTACTCTTTGGGAAAACAGTGCCTATCGGATCTCGTAAGTACTTATTCTTATCTTGGAATCGTTTCCTTGATTTTTTCTTCGACAGTACGGCATGGACCTTTCTCTATTTTTAGCAATATGCCGAGAATGTAGAGGAAAGCATAACAAAAAAATGAGTAAAGAAGGTGAATGGGTCAGATTGAAGCCTGATACCGAATCTGTCAATGATATTACGGACAAGTAAGTGCTATTTTCTGTTCATGTTGGTTCATATGTCTTCATATTGCGAACATACAGTATACATGATGACGATATATGTATGCATCCTATTTTACAGTGGCGCCGTGGCAGGGGGGGAGGGGTGCTTGCCCCCCCCCAATTGTTGAGACCTGTCGGAAAATTGGTAATATTGTTGGAATCTTCGTGGTCAAGCATACCTGCATATACGCAGGCCCGCCGAGTGCTAGTTCGGAAAAAGTGCTGATAGCCAGAAATGAGCGACATAGTGATTACGCAACACTAAGTAATCACCCGTGCCTGATTCCCAATATTTATAGTAAATTGTATTACTAATTCAACAATACAATACAATTCCTGAGATGCGAAGATCGAATTCGGTCAAACAAATGCTTGCGAACAAACTGGGCCTAAAATTGTGCTGTCTCGATGTCAACAAACCTTCTCCCTGAGAAATTCAAAATCACCAGCGAGACCGTAGTGAGTTAGTTGACAAAAAGCATGAAAAATTGCAAAATACGATGTGAAAATCCTTCGCTGCGCGTTTATATAGACAGTACAAATTCCTACATGCGAAGCTTGTTCCGGCAAGACGAGGTTCTTACGGCTTTGAATGATATAAAAACGAAGAAATATATTGTTCCCTTCCCTTGTCCCTGCCTTGTTGTTTTGAAGGTAGTTAAGAGCATCCAAGACCGGTAAAAACTTCGTTTTGGTTCCAATAGCATGGCCATAACTCGGTGAGATTTCGGTCAATTTCTTCTCCAAAACTGTTGTTTTGAAGCTCGTTTCTTGCTTGTCTTTAATAACATGCTTTTAAGTCATACGCGCATGTTTTTATCGTTAAATACCGCTGAAATGTCGGGTTTTGAGCAATCCTAATGAAACCGAAGGCCAGACGAAAGCCGCGGGATAAAGATAAACCTCCGGATCGTATATCACAAAATATTTCAATTACTCATTGACTTATATATGTCGCACGTTTCAGGCTATGTACGAAAGCAATTATAACGTTCTTATCCGGAAACATTTTTGACCAAAATAGTTGTCGGCGGTGGGGGGGGGGAGGGGGGGGGATAGTTTGTCGGAAAAATACTTCCCTTGGCCCCCAGAAAACACGGGACCCACGACGCCCATGCTATTTTACCCTTTTCAATTTATCATTAATGATGATATTTTGATCATTAACCTAATAATTTATGATGATATTTTGATGTTTTATCAACATTTTTATCGTTTTTATCAACAGATTGAAAATGACATCACTATCGCCATATCTTACTGGAACAATTTCTCCCTCAACTTCATTGGCTAGTCCAGATGCGACTGACATGTGGACACCGCCACTTTACTAAACTACTCCTGTTCAAGTTGTGAAGACCAATCTACTCCTTCGACAACTGATGTCTACAACGAATCTATGTCTCATCTGGCAAGTTTAAAGTCTTTCAAAGAAATTTCACCATTGTCATTTCGACTAAAGGGCAGTTGGGATGAAACTACACAAAGTGAGAAAGAAGCGTGCATTGAAAAGGCTAGCGAAGCATGCCAAGTACAGTGTGTATTGCAAAGAACAAAGTCCATGCCCAGAAGTTTTGCGTTAAGCGATTCAAAACTAACTTGTTTTCAGAAATCTTGCAATCATAAACCTAATCTTTTCTGCGACAGATGTGAAGAGCTCAAATTCGTCCGTAGTGAGATTGAGAACATTATTCGAACTCATTCAAGCAGTGTGACCAGATTATAAATATAAAATTCGATAAAATTTGAGAAAATTATGCTAAATCATGATAAATTATGCAAAATGTAGATTTGATTAAAATATGGATGAAATATTAATTTGTAAAACTGTTAAGTGCCATCGGCCATAGCAGAACGAATGACATACGAGTTTATGAAAGTGAAAGTTTGAACCAGCGAAAGACGCCATGACCATGTATCACGTGACGTGTCCAGGGAATCTGACTAGCGCTATACATATACATGGTGGGGGCTCATCTGGACTACGTCAATAGACATGTTAGACTACTTTCCTACTTTTCCTCAAATTTCCACCCCTCTCCCTTACAAAAAAGCATATTTGAAATTTGCAAAAAGAAGTTTTTCAGCATCATGCTAACATTATGCTCAAGCAGTTATTTTATTCTAAAATTGTGCTAAATTTTTCATTATTCCAAATCTCTTCAAAAATTTGTGAAATTATGGTAAATCTGGTCACACTGCTTCAAGCACCATGTATTCTAACGAGCAACAAGGAGACTACATAGACGATTTCGGTAAATGCATGCAAAGAAAACATTTTCAAATGGAAATGTCACATGATTCTTCGCTCCTGTAACCAAGAAATGGCCAAGCAAAACGTTCTTGAAATTCTGGACGAGAATTCCGCGCTCATTGTAATAGACTGGGCAATGAAATTTACGCAGCGTCGCTTCAGAGAACAGGGCCGTAGGAAGCTCTTTTCGATTGGGGGGATGAAAGCGAGGGCCGAAGGAAATTTTTAAATTTAGAGTCTCTAAAATGCCATTTCCTGGACTTTGGGGGAAGATTTAACAGAATTCTGATAGTCAGAAAACAGCGTTTTAGTATGTCGGAATTTACAGGAAAGTATGGGCCAGACTGTAGTATTATAAATGCGCGGCGGGAATTTTCGTCGTAAATGGCAGTTGCGCGGAAATGAAGGCAGAACATTTGAGAAAATTTCGAAAATCTGGAGTCTCTAGATGGTCTGAAATGGCATTTTCAGAGTTTTCTTTCGCAAGACCCAACACGCAAAAGACAAAATAAATCATTAGTTCATCAAAAATGTGCAGATTTTGTGGGATTTTCTTGAAAATGCGCGACAGAAATTCAGCTAAAATTTCTACGCGAGGAACGATCTGGAGTATGAGTAATATCTTCATTCTTTGCAGTTTGTCACAGATTAAGGAGGCTCCCTACAGTTCCGTGCGGGATGTTCGCGGGACAAGTACGGGAACTATCCCACGCAACTGCATCATCAAAACAAAACAAAAATTGACCATGCTTTTTTAAAAAATAAAGCTATTTCTGAAAGGTTTCTAATGGGAAAAAGCGTTGAATAATACTTCGTTTTGAGTGCCAAATCACGTGCGAGTCTATACAGCAATTCTACATATGATACGAATATCACTAGACCAAAAAATAGCTACGAAACAATATTTTAAAATTTTTTTATACACTGTCAACTGACTCAACTGTAAAACATTTGCAAAATTGCATAGAAACGTTTAAAAAGTTGTTTACTTCTCAAGAAAACGTTCACGTTTTTAGTCGTGTTTCTACAAGATTAAAGTGATTATATGTAAACAGAAAAATATTTCAGTTTCATAGCCTAATTGTTCATTTTTAGCAAAAAGTACAAAACCAAACATGAAACAAAAAAACACGTCCACCTGTTATAGGCTGTTACAGCTCATAGATTGAGTAAACGGCAGGATTCAATTAGCTTCAACCTTGTTTTCATCGATTTAATCCTTCACAATAATCCTTGGCTGTCCGCAGCACTCAAATAAATCGAAAAGTTGACAAAAACAAAACAGTAAAAACAACATTGTGGCTCGATTTTGCTGAATAAAAACTCGTTCTGCGCCCGCGTACAATCTTTTACTAGTCAGCGACGCTTTTCAATAGGGGAATTTCTCGAGTTACACGAGGCTATTTTCTAACTTTATTTGCATTTTTCTCATTAGTTTCATCGGTGACCTATCTTCAAATTTTGACCACGAATTTATTTTGCGGTAAATTTTATAAATTTCAAATTTTAAAAAAATCTGTAGTGTGGAAATTTCGCAATAAATTTTTCGCTTTTAAAAAAATCACACACTACAGAATTTTTTTAAACTTTCACCACAGTTGCAGAGCATCATTCCTTATAGATATATGAAATAAAAAAGATAGGTCACCGACATCGTTTTTGAGATAGCGGCACATTTATGGGTTAAATTGGAAGGCTTTATGCTGTCGTCATGTTGCCATGGGAACATTGACGTCGTCGAAATCTAGTTCGAAATATTCCTTAGGTTACCAATATTGCCACCAAGTCGAAAAGAATTCGCGTTCTGCACGAATAAGCCTGTTTTACGGAATTATTGCTTAAACAAGAATAACTGTAGGGAGCCACCTTAAATGATAAAATTTGCATGATTTTGAAGAAAGAATGATTATTACTACGGCCCTGGGGAATGATTATTGCTACGGCCCTGGGGAAAAACAATCCGTTTGGTACGCAAAGCGAGGAATGAGTTGGCACGTGAGTAGCGTTATTACTAGACATCAAGATACAAATCGGCTGGAAGTATGTACTTATGCGCATTTCGTTTCAAAATGTTATAAAATGCGGATAATATAGCCTTGCGAAGTTTGCCGTTTTTCAGTCATTTTGCATTACAACCGGGAAATTGATAATCAGATTATCAAACTGATTATCAATTTCCATTTGTAATACAAAATGACTGAAAACGGCAAACTTTGCAAGGCTATATTATCCGCATTTTACAACATTTCGCAATGAAACTACGGAATATTACTAATTTTGTGATGCTCTTTCAAGCAATGATGAAATTTTTGTCCAGTCTAGATCAAAATTTTACTTAAAGGGGGAAAGGTCTATTTATCTAAAAATATCAGTCTAAAAATAACACAACACATTTGAATGGCTACCTTGGGGGAAAACCCGCCTTACTATTGGCTGTAAATTTTCTCATTTCTTTGCCTTGTGTCATTGCCCCCGACAATTTTTGAATGTTATTTATGTTCACAAGAGTTATTGCTTATGCTGAATGAACTACAGCAATATACCAATAAATATATTTGATGAAACTGGATGAATATATACAAAACTCTTAATTGATGTTTTTGTGATTGCAATTATACCAAGGAACACGCTTGTTTTTACTGATCTATTTCAAAAGTATGCTAGCGAAAGCAAACATGCAGCATGCATGAAATATTGTTCTTTTTCTTTGGAAATATCAAATAGACGTGATCAAATGTCTTAAACATATGATTTAATTTGTTTGTCTAATGTCATACTAAGATGATAATTTCTGAGTGTAGTTATAATGCCAGGTCAAATTTGCAAGTATTTCATTTAAATTCAGAGCGCACCAGTTTGTTTCCCCAAAAAAGTTTTTTCATAAAATTATAGAACAATATTTGTAGTATAATTTCCAGTTTAGTCTGGGTGTATAACTGGTTGCACTTTTGAAAAAAACAAAGTTGAAAGATGGTTATTTTCGCAATTTTGCCGGCAAGTCGAAATTGGCGTTAGAAAAAATTTTAAAAAAACCCGAATTCCTGTAATATATACAAATTATTGCCGTCAAGTTGTTGTATAGATGTAAATCTTTCGGATGACCCAAAAATCAAAACCAAATTATGTCGTACACATATCTGAAGTTCCCTTGAAAATGGATAATTTTACGTCTGAAACTGTCTAAAAATAGCCATGGCAGACACAAAATAGAAAATACAGCAAAACTTGAAAAATAAAACAAGAATCCAAAAGATGTATGCATATTTATTACATACTAACAAAGGCTAACAAATGATAGAAATATTAAGGGAAAATAATTTTCAACGCGAGAGTCAGTAGGTGGATCTTAGGGAGACGGCCTCTTAAAACAATACCTGAGCTTAGGGTTAAAACTCACTAAGATACACCGCGGAGTGAAATTCTACGAAAAACCTTGGATGAAGGGGTATATCCAGCTCAACACGGACCTGCGTACCAAGGGTACTACAGACTTTGAAACAGACTTCTTTAAGCTTATGAACAACTCGGTATTTGGAAAGACGATGGAAAATGTTAGGAATAGGGTCGACATAAGACTTGTTAATAACGAGGAGAAGTGGAACAAGCTGGCGCAAAAGCATAACTACAAATCTGCGACCACCTTTTCCGAAAACCTAGTGGCAGTTCATATGATGAAGACATCCGTAAAACTGAATAAACCTATATACTTAGGGATGAGCATCCTTGACATCAGTAAGACCTTCATGTACGACTTTCACTACAATTACATTAAACCAAAGTATGGGGATGATGCCAGGCTCCTATTCACGGACACGGACTCCCTATGCTACGAAATTAAAACCGAGGATTTCTTCAAGGACATATCCGAAGATGTCTACGAAAGATTCGACACCAGCAATCTAGGTAAGGACCACCCGTCCGGAATCCCAACGGGTGTAAACAAGAAGGTTATCGGGATGATGAAGCTGGAAACGGGTGCAAAACAAATTGAAGAGTTTGTGGGATTAAGGTCAAAGCTATATGCTTACAAAATGGCGGTAGACGGTGGTGAGGAAAAAAAGTGTAAGGGAATCAAGAAAGTAGTTATCAGAAAAGAAATAACATTCGAACATTATAAAGAATGCCTCTTCAGCGGTGAGAAACAGTGGAGGAGAATGAATGTTTTCAGGAGTAGGTTACACGAAATATATACGGAAAGGATCGTTAAGGTAGCCCTATCAGCAAACGACGACAAGAGGATAATTATGAATGATGGAATCCACACGCTAGCAATCGGGCACAAGAGCCTAAGACAGTAGAAACCAATTTTAATATTCGAAGGAACATTAAAATTCCGGCGGGTCTACAGTAATTTTGTAATTACGAATCCGGACCCCAGTCCCAATATTCCGATCGTGATCTGCTGGTATTCTTCCATTTCGCTTGATGGTTTATAGTAATCGTGAATCGTCGGTTCTTTATCCAGGGTCAGTTCCTCCTGCGCTTTCCGCAGGGAGTCAAGAGCACGGTTTGTCGCTTACATATCCGATTTGGCGTCGACTAGTTCCTGCCTGAGTATTGCAATTCTGTTCTTATTTTCCACTTGACTTTCGTACCATCTTTCTTTAGCTTTGGCTAATTTTTCCAACGCTTTGTTATGCCTTTTCATTTCGTCCTCGTATCCACTGTGGTTTAATTTGCTGAACAGGTATCCGGCTCCTGCGAATGCTACGGCGTTAAATAGTCCTCCGACTACGACGCTTGTCATCGCCCTTTATTTAAATGGATCATCCGGTACTAGTTTTTTGAACTGTAGGTAGTGAACTCCAACCGCACCAACTCCAAGGGCTACGGCTAGTTTTAGAATTCCTTTCGGACTACTAGGTACTCCGAGACTGTCACCTGCAATTTTTTTGCTTACCACGGACACAGCGACTGCTCCGAGTGTAATAATAATATTCGTTCATAAAGTCCTTTCTATCTCCCATCCTTTATTATAGTATCTATTTTTTTCTTTTTCTATATTCATTGTACAAGAAGTAGGTCAGTGCCAGAGCTAAAATCCAAAGATTCTTCGCCAGGAACGCAATGCCCTTTGTTCCCCATGACAGAACCTTAGCGACGAGGTTTAGTACGGATGCTAGTACGGGTCCAATCTTTCCGGCTAGGTTTGCCATTGCTTTTGCGAACTTGCTAGTTGCTCTCGCTCCCTTTTTTGCTACGCTTCTAGCTCCCATAATAATCGTGGTGATGATGCCAGCCACAGATATTGCTACGGCTGATATTCCAACTATATTTTCTCTTGCCCATTTCTTAAATCTTTCGAACCTTGTAAGGTCGTTTATTTCTACCTCCTCTTCCACGATGGACATAGCTTTCGGTCCTTTTGGTCGTTCGTTTGATCTTAACCTTATTTCATCCGCCTTCAATTCTGCCATGTCTGCCATTGCTTCATACAGGAGGGCCTTCTGTTCACGTCCTGCAGTTCGTTCGGTTCTAGCTAGTTCTTTCCAGTGATTTTTTTCTATTTCAAGATACTCAATTTTTTGCTTACCCGAGTTTCCGTTTACGTTCAGGATACCCCTCAGTTCCCTTAGATCATTTTCTGTTATAACTGTACTATTACTGATGGCTTCACTTTGATTGGACAGTTCATCGTCCATCCTTTCAACGGTATTTTCCAGTACGTTATCCACAAGTTCCTGAGAAGCATCCAGGTTCTGTCGTTCGAGTTGTTCCTCCACTAGGGCTGCAGGTGTTTTTGAATGCTCTATTCTAGCTTTCCTAATCAGTTCCTTGTATTCGTTTACGACGGATTCCTTGTTCTTGTCCATGGAGTATATCATTCTACCATTTTTCGAGATAATGATTTTGACATCTTTGAATGTAGCACCGTTAATTTTTGTTCCGGCCTTATTTACGGTCAGTTTCATTTTGTCAAAGATGATGGTGGAAGATGGACCGTCTCCCTTATTGATATTTACTCCAAGTTCCCTTTTGAGGAAATCCTTTTTATCCGACGTATAGGCCCGTTTCATTACTCCAACATCCCGTCTGATGTTCGGTGTGGAACCGCTGGGTCTTGATCCATCGGCGTCCGGATTGAATCCGATGGGAATTAATATACTTTCGTCTCGTCTCCCGTTGTCGTCAGTGAAACTTGTTTCTTCCTCCACCGTTCCAGCTTCTTCGGCTTCGCGGTCGTCGACGTGGTTTGCTTCGTCTAGTTCAATGTCAGCCATTTATTTTATATCCTTAATATTTTCTTCTGGAATCCAGGAATTGTGTTTACTATCGTATCCTAACCACTTGACCAGTACCATACCCTTCCTTCTTCTCAGAATTTTCTCAACCCTATACACATCGTCCTTTTTGTCCACGGCGGATAGTTCCCTTCGTAGAACTTTCCGATGATCGGTTCTCCGTCATGACTTTCTATTTCGTACATGTTGGGATCTCCCCTGAATACTCCTACAACTTTGAATATCTCTTCCGTAAAGTTTGCTTCGTATCCCTTGGTAAAGATATTTTTGTATTTCGTTATCCGGACCGTATCATCAACCCTAAATTTAGGTAATGGAAATTCCCCTAATCCGTGACCGTATAGCGTGATCCATACCTGATCCTTGTTCGACTTGCTTACGTCGGCAGGTCTCATTAGTATACTGCTGTGTTTGGTATGATTGTAGTTATCCGTAAGCTCGTCTAGGGCGTCGACCCAATTGTAAGTCCCTTTGCTGTAGAAATACTTCCACATCATGGTTTTCAAAGTTCTGTTGAATCTTTCAACGATAGCTGCCTTTCTGTCGGAGTTTGTGGAAAAATAGCGGACGTCGTGTTTTTGTAAGAGGTCCCTAACACCAACATTGTAGAATTCCTTTCCCTCGTCGAACTGAGCAACTTCCGTGTATTTTCCAAACCTTTTCTTGAATTCCTCCAATAATAAGTTCACAGCCTTCGTCCTATTTTTCGTATCCTTTCTGTAGACGGGAATAGCAAATCCGTACCGGCCCAGGATCTCTACAGCTGTTAGTATCCAGTAATATCCTCTGTTCTATTTTTGTATTTTCCCATATCCACCAAATCCATCTGCACTTGATCCGCCAGGTCCTTAACGAATGTCCTTTGAAATTTGTGTTTTTAACGATAGGCTTATAACTTGTATAGGTGTCCTGGGTCTTTAACCAGTCCTTTACTATTTTCCTACTAATGTCCAGTCCCTCCTCCTTTGCCTTACGGTAGAGCTTCTCCGCGGATTGATAACCGGTACTCGGATTGTAGTAGATATCCCTTAACCCTTGTTCGGTAATAAAGTGTTCGTCTTCTATTTTATTTATGTGATATAAAATTCGAGGAGTGCGGACATATCGACCTTATCGCCGATGTTCGTACCGATACTGAAGGAGAATCTGTTGTGGGAACCGTTATTAACATAAACCCTACTTCCGATGTCTTTGAAAAACGTTGTTGTTCCGTTTAGATGTTGGTCGGATGTCACGGGTAGCGTGCCCACCGCAAAACTTCCATCACCATCTACGTCAAAATTTAGGGATGTATTAACAACATCACAGTCTATGGTAATATATTTAAGACCGGGATTAATATCTATAGGATAGGGAGATTTTTCCCACACTTCGGAGGTTAGGATCCCCGTTTCTGGGAATCCTATTAGCGGAGCAAATTCATTTAAATGTAAGTTCACCTTGGTTGCCGGATAAATTCTGCAGGTATTGTCGTGCGTATTTCGTTCTATTGTTATTCCGTCTGCCTTCAGTTTTTTCTTTATTGCATCGAAGGTCCAGTAGCCTTCGTCAAAGGTAATTTTCTTCTGTCCGTAGGTAATACTATCGTTGACACCCGAACGTACGTTCTTATAAGCCCAGTAGATGGTCGCGTTCTTTAGGATTAATTCTGACCCCGCGTTCGCTAATATACTTGTCCGGAAAGAACTCGGTAGTTCCGTTTTCGATAAACACCGTTAACTTCTTCATTTTATTATATGTATTAAATAAAATGAGTACCAGTGAAAACTTCTTTCGTAACTATTACGGACAGAACTATGAAAAAGTAAAGGCGGCAGTACCCGTAGAAATACGGAAGATGAAGGAGGATTTTAGGAAAAAATATCCGGGTGCAGAAATGTCTATATTTGACTTTCTGGTTACATTTGCAAAGGATGGAACTTTAGAATCCAAGGACATATTCTTCAAGATTACGGACGCGGAAAGTTACGACATCAAATCCAGCACATTCAGGGTAAATAAAAAGTGGACGTGGTACCTTTACCAATGGGAGAGAATATGGGGTAATTACGGAACCGTTCAAACTTTTAAACATAACAGGGATCCACTTCCGTACAGAATAAATAGGTTCGAAATTTACGTTTGCGACTGTATTAACACCTCCCACAACAGTTTTGTATCCAACTTCGCCGATCTCAACACGAAGTGGACCGGTAGCACAAAGGATATCACCAGGGTAAAGTTCGATTATATAAACGATCCCTATATTGCATCGATACTGGCTGCTTACATTATTACGTATAAGTGTGGGATAAGTACGGAACACCTGTTGGAAAGCAAAGGAACCTCGAGGGTAATCACAAGTATTGCTAGGTATCACCTATACTACCACATGCGTAGGTTTCTCAGAAATCCAAGCAAAATGACGACGTACGTAGCGAAGAATATGCTAAAGTCTCTACAAAGAAACATGCCCACACAGAAAACGTGGGTTGACAAATTTCACCGTGGACAAACAGAAATAGGTTTCTGGCAAAGCAGACTTCCGGATAAAAGTAGGGTTAGGAATTACAAATATTCGTACTACCATACCGGTGGTGTAATGGGAATTAGCTATCAGGAAGTAGACAAGGTCGTTAACAACAGCGATACGGACTACACCCAGTTCATAGCTAAGAAATCGGACGGGTTGACACCCCTGGGATTAAAGCTACTTCAGCAATCTATCGAAAGTTACGTCTACTGCGTATTAGGTGCCAAGCACAAACACGTTGGTCTATCGTTGGTAGGGGGGCGAATCCCTGCAAACTCAGGACGTATTTTACAAACTTTTCAAAGACACCGTTGCGCAGGACGATGTATCGGTATCCATCTCCATTATGAGGAAAGCGATAAAGGATACTAACGTTGTACTTAACATGGCAATATCACCCGGATTAATATTAACACCATCCAATATGATTATACTCAAGGAAAAAATAGCAGGGTACAACAATACACAGACACTAGCAACAAAGGACATGAAGTTTGGTAGTAATACGGATGTTAACTACTCAAAGCCTAAGGAAATAAAGAAGAGTCCGGTGGTAAATCTAAACTCTATACCACGCAAAGACCAGAACCCCATACCGCATCCTAACACAACAAGCATACCGAAAGCATCAAACAATCTGGTTTACCTCCTCGGCACTATGTTTGTTGGTGGGGTTATCGCTTCAAGATAGATTTTCTTTCCGTATTAATAAAAGAATGAATAGCGACAGCAGCAAGATTAAGGGAAAGTTGAAAAAGGATAAAACCGTCAACGTTGATATAAAACTCAATAGAGGTGGATTAAATCTCGGTTACGTTAAATCCAAGATAACCAACATCAAGTGCGTTACGTCGTGTAAGGAAGACAAGGCGGGACCGTCGGCAAAGACCGCAAAGGAAGACAAAGCGGGACCGTCAGCAAAGACCACGAAGAAAGGGGATAAAAAGAAGAATAAATAAAATGGGATGTTTACACGCAAAACCTGAGACCACAAATGAACTGAAGTACGCCAAAGCCACCGGAAAAGGAAAATGTTCAGTTTCGGAGTCGGTATAGAACGCGGTGATCTCACTATCAACGCTCACACCCAAATTGGATACGTTAGCACAACGGTAAAAAAGTACGTTAAAATAAATGACGAAAACTCAAATACTGCGGAGACTAACGTGGATGAGTCTGGTGTCCTGCCTACTCATCCCGATAACGGTTGAAATTCTTCTCGTCATCATAGCCCTTAAATTACTATTCCAATTTTAATGCTTGATAAGAAGCGTTAAAATTATTCAATGTATTCCCAGCCCAGCGTCCGGAATACTTTTTTACACCGATCGTGTGGGGCTCTGCTTACCGGAATATTAAGTAGCTTCTCATCCACTGTTATGTTAAGTTTTTTACATGCTTGGTAGGTTAGGATGTTGAGGTTAGGAAGCGATTTCATTTTCGGTTCCTCGCGTCGTACACCTTCTTGATGTCTTCCACGATCCTACTCCTATCCTTTACCGATAACATGGGGTATGTTATTTTCATCCTCTTAAAGAAACCTTCGTATCTGAAGTAGATGTCGGACATGTTTAGGTCCTTCACAATCGTCTTTTTTGCGGTTGTTTTACTAGGATTTTTTGTGGATGTCTTGCTCTGACGACCGCACTCCATATATTCCCAGCCCAACGTTTGGAATATTTCCTTACACCGATCGTGTGGGGGTCTGCTTGCTGGAATGCTGAGCAACCTCTCATCCATCTTTATGTCAAGTTTTTTACATACCTGATAGGTCAGGATATCGAGATTAGAAAATCTCTTCCCCCTAGGCTTTTCTGCATTACGAACTTTATTAATGTCTCTTTCTATCAAAAGCCTCTCGTGCGTTGGTAGATCATAATATGTTATTTTCCTTCTGGTACAAAATGATTCGAACCTATCGTCGATGCTCATTTCCCGACGTCTCATAATCACACTTTCCCAACAACCGTAGTCATAACAGGGATTGCGGATCTTGCCGGTAATCAGCCCACACTCACGACACGTCCATTCCCAATTTATGGGGGCAAGTTGGTGCTTGCATCCCTCAGAACAGAAGTGCTTGTTTGGAAACTCCACAGGTTCCTTTGAAGCAAGGAGATCCAAGTACTCCTTTTCCGCTTGCCTGAAAAGGACCAGCCAATCAGGAGGGTCTGACCTCAGCTTACGCCGCTCTTCCATTGACCTACGCTCCTCTTCCATTAGCTTACGCTCCTTTTCCGGTAAGTGACGAATCTCTCCCAATACTGTCATAGGAAAATCCATATCTTTTATTATATGGAAAAATATTTCTTTAAATATTTATCGGGATTACCTTAAGTTGATTTTGAAACTTCTTAAGGTTATGTTGCAACTAGCTTTGACTAGAATTTGAACTAGATTTTGACTAGAATTTGACTAGATGCCAAACCTAGTTAAGGTTATGCTGAAATCTGGTTGAGGGTATGCTGCAACTAGCTCCGACTAGTCTTTGACTAGACTTTGACTAGAATTAGAAAAAAAGTAAGTATATTAAATAAAGGATGGACGGACCAACAATAACAAGGGCAGAAAAGACCCAAAAACCAAACGATCCAAGAAGGGTAGAATCGGGTAAAAGACTGGCCGCAATATCGAAAGAAGCAAAAGCAAGGAAGCCGAAGAAAGGCGTAATGCTGAAAATAATTCCGATCAAGGCGACTCGGTAAATACGCTGATTTACGCCGGAGTCGCAACAGCCGCTTTGGGGGGAATCTACTACATATACTGCAAAGTCAGACCTACGGACAAACCCAATCGCACGGCAGAACCACAAGTACAGGACGAGCCCAAACCGAAGTTCGAAAAATTTAACAATTAATGTACTATAATAAAAGGAATGGAAAAAAGAAGTCAGGAACTTACGCCCGGTTTCAAAAGGGCACTGACCTCCAACGTTGTAGGAAACAGGGTATGTAACTTCGTTACATTCAACCCGAACGAATCCAACCCCGGAAACGACATCCGCATAGTAGTTCCGAAACTGGAACCGAACACCTGTATCGTTCCGGACTCATTTCGCCTGTCGTACAAGTTTAAGAACGAAAACACCAAATCCTGGTTCATGAATAACCTCGGTAAACTTCTGTGGGGGTGAAATCGTATACGACAATAACGGTGAAAGTCTCATCGAAGTTTACAAGGATCTCTGGAAGATGGGTACGAAAAGAGCAAACATGGTAGAATACGGGATTATGAACGAAAACACAAGGAAGCTATTGTCGAAGGATGACACTGCCGATCAGACCGCAAAAACGGATGGTGACTACGACCTGGTGATGGCGAAGGTATACAAGGAGCAGAAAATGAAACTCGGAAAAATTCTCAATGACCGCGGTCCCTACGCACCGTACAACATGAAGAGCGGATTCGAGCACACGATAACCCTTCCAAAAGCCGACAAGATTATGGTCGCACAAGCGAACGAGAAGGTGGAAGGATACACACTGAAGAACATACACCTGGAATACGAAACCATAGAGAACGAGGAACTAGCCAAACGAGTAAACGCAGGATACGAGACCGGTAGATCCCTGTCATACGAACACACAACACTGTTGAAAACAACCGTGTGGTCAAAGGATGCTACAAGGTTCAACGAAACCATAGACGTTCCAAGGGTAAGCATGAGGGCTGTGGTCCTACTTTTCAGAAAAAGGACAATAACCGACAGCGAGGAATACGTCTTCCCAAGCATCGAAAGGGTAAAGGTTATGATAGAGGGAAAGCCGAATGCTGTATACAGTCAGGGTTTAACAACGGAAAATTTCTACGACGAAGCAAAAAGATTGTTCGGAATAGCCAACAACACCTGTAACGACGACATAAACGTCAGGAAATTCCACAAAAACAAATTCGCATTGGTAATTGATCTGAGAGCTGTCGACGACAACCATATCGTTGGAAGTGGAAAGAAGCTTCTCGGCGATAACCCCGGAATCCTTCTAGAAATTGAAACGGACACTATTACCGAAGACATCCTCTGTAACATCTTTGTGCTATCCGATGGACTCATAAACATCAGCGAAAAGACCCTTCAGGGTTAATTAGTTATTAAATAAAAGATGGAACCGCTGAAAACATCATTCAACATGATCATTCTCGGAATGACCGGATGTGGAAAAACCTACTACCTACTGGAAATGTTGGAGAACGACTATAAAAACCACTTCGAGTACATATTTTTAATATGTCCCACATACGAATGGAACAAAGCGTACCAGGACTGGAAATACAATATGGATAAGGACTTTATGGCCATGCCCTGCAAGCAGGATGATGTAAACCAGTGTTTAGAATATATACGTTTCGAATTTTGCAAAAGGAACAAATAGCCTTATCGTTCTTGATGACTGTGCTAGTAGTCAATCCGTTAAAAACAGGACCAGCGAATTGGTAAAACTTGGGTTTAGCGCTAGGCATATGGGAATATCAACCAATGTCATTACCCAACAACTCACATCCATTGCGAAACCCTATAGGGAAAATATATCCAAGCTCGTAACCTTCTACAACCCGAACGCAAAGGATACGGACATCATATTGAACAACTACCTTGCAAACACGGAAAAAGAAGAAAGGAAGGAAATCATTAATACGCTAAAAAACAACGACTACGCCAGACTGGAAATACTATTACGCCGACCCTATACCCACGAAACAATTATTCCGCATATTAAATAAAGGAATGGAAATCATATTCGAATCTGTAGAGCCTGAGACACCCGTCGCAAGCGATCTGAGGGAAAAGCTACTAAAACTAGTCGATGCAGGTGAAATTAAGTACACCTCAAAATATATCAAAAAAGCATCTGAAAAAACGCTGGAAAACATATACAGGGACTACGAAAGACAACGTCTGGAGGAAAACACAAACAACCAACTAGCCGACGTTATCATTACCAAGTTTTCCGAACTCATGGAGGCGCTGGATGCTGTTAAGGATGCCAAAGGGATGAAAAAAGAACTGGAGGAAAACGATCTGCTTAGAAAAGACATAAAAAACCTTGTCGGTTACGTAACGCCGTACATCCCACTCATTGGAATACTAAGTGGCGGAATCACCGTTGGGAAACACGTGATCAATACAAGAGCGGGTTGTCCGGAAAAGGAAGAATAAAGGTCAACAGTCTATAGAATAAACTTTTTTATATAAAATAAAAAAGTAATGGGTACCTACAGGAAAGTCCAGCTGTACTTCGAATGTTCCGAAGAAATGACGGAGTTCATTTCAGAAATGTGTGAGGACACGGACTTCATGGACGCCGGCATGACCTTCACGGACGAAGGAGCTAATAGGGAGGTAGACACTAGGTTCTGTCTCGTGGGAGAAACGAACGCTATAATTATGGGTGTGAACGCGATCCCTTTCGGTCCACCGATATGTATCGTCGTTTTCCTCACCGTACGTGAGGATATGACGCTTAGAGAGATAAACAACTTCACGCTGGACTGTTCGGAGTTTGGTATAAATCTGGGACGACCCGACGATTCCGCAGAGTCGTGGGTGTTTTCCATACCGTCCTTACGTTCCCGATCCTATGGTATGGGAAATCTGTTTAGGATACGGTGGAAAGACCGATCGGTCATGCCTGTTGAGTATGAAAACAGCTTACCCGTCAGCGGTGTTGATGCTCTTTAAATTTTAATGTTCCTACAAATATTAAAATTGGTTCTGTCAGGATTTCTGTATCCGATTAATCCCGTCGCTGTAAAAGCCTCTTCCTCGGTGCTTTGGGTTTTTCCTCCAATATGTTTGCCTCATGTAGCTTTACCTGGATGGAAGTTACGTTGCTGGACACATAGATGCTCTCGATTTTGACGATCGCATCAAGGCGGAACCTCTTGTCCTGGTATTTCTTGTGGTCTACAGGATCGTCTCCTTTCGGAAGGTATATCTCTGTTTCGCCGTCGATCTTTACGTAAAGGGTTGGAGTGCTGCCCTTCCGGTAAAGACATTTCATAATGTTTTCACCCGGCTTACCAACGTGATCGGCGGACTCCTCTTCCACCAGTTTCAGGGCTGACACAAACTCCTCTTTATCCCTCAGGGCTAGGGAGATGGAGTAATTGTCCTTACCGAACTTGTTATTTTTGCTCACTCCATAGGACAAGTAGTCCTCGAGTTCCAATAGAAGTGGACCCTGATCCTGTGCCGTTAATTTGATCTTCTTGGACCCGTAACTGTTTCCGACGGCATCTTCGAAAGCGAACGAGTCTTTGGCGAAGTTTGAAACTTTGGTAATGGACATCCTTTTTATTATATACAAAAAGAAAATTTTTTCAAAAACTGCTGACTCAGCTTTTTCTTTCAACCGGAAGTGACGTCATAGATCACGCGATCCAAATCTGCACAGAAGGGGTGCGCAGTAGGGAGGGTTAGGGTAGGCTTAGGGTAGGGTTAGGGTAGGGTTAGGGTAGGGTTAGGATAGGGTTAGGGTAGGGTTAGGGTAGGGTTAGGGTAGGGTTAGGGTAGGGTTAGGGTAGGGTTAGGGAAGGGTTAGGGTAGGGTTAGGGGAGGCTTAGGGGAAGCTTAGGGTAGGGTTAGGGGAGGGTTAGGGTAGGCTTAGGGGAGGGTTAGGGTAGGCTTAGGTAAGACTTTGGCGAAACTTCTGAAAGCATTCTCAAGGCGGGGGTGGTGGGGCCTGCGGGGGCTGCGCATACGTGGTTTTTGTAAACCGGAAGTGACGTCATAGTTACGGGCAAGTCTGGGCGTGGCTGATTGCGGTGGGCCGGGGGTGATGTCATAGTGGTAAACCGAAGTGACGTCATAGATCACGTGATCCAAATCTGCGCAGAAGGGTTGCGCAGGGAGGGGTTAATTGATTTTGACCAAAATTATCCCTCATTATCCTAGTGGACCAAAATTATCCCTCATTATCCCTCATTATCCCTCATTATCCCTCATTACCCCCCATTATCCCTCATTATCCTACTGGCCCAGAACCCGCCATTTCCCACTACTCTCGAGAGACGTAAATGATGTTAACCGGCCATTTGTTGATGAAATTCAATGCGAAGAACTATTCCTAATGTTATCGAAAAATTCCAGCAAACAGCTGTTCCATATAAGATGACCAAATGTTGTCCCTTGAGGCCCATGAGTCCCTTGAGGCCGAGGGAAAAAGATAATGAGACAAATTTGTCAAATATTCCTAAATTAAGATGTTTTAGGATATAGCTGGCCTTCCGAAACACCTTGACGAAATTAGCCTGCTATTGCATAATATAAAATTGGATGTCTTGGTACTAAATGAAATTCGCCTTGACTCCTCTATTTCGGACGACCTTATGAGTATCGAGGGTTACGATATACTGCGCTCTGATTGAAAACGAAATGGAGGGGGAGTATGTATATACGTTAGGTGTTATGTAAACTATTAAAACCGTCCAGACGTAATTCCAAACGATCTAGAAGCCGTTTGTTTGGAAATAAAACAAGCCAATAGTAAGTCTTTCATTTTTTCGAGTGTTTATAGACGGCCAAATACAACTGTTGACACCTTTTCAAAAATTGAAAGGCTAATTCAACTAGTGGATAATGAAAACAAAGAAGTTTACATGATAAGCCTGGTTCACATTGATCGGCGATGTTCTACGATCCATTGTCTGCGAGCAACGAAGTAGAAAATGCACAAAACATTTTATGTATCAATGACCACCGACAATGGGCATCGCAGATGTTTACGAACAATGTGAACCAGGCTTTAGGTGATCTAAACTGTAATCTACTCGATTCAAATTTGTCGAATGTTAAAATGCTTCAGGAAATAATGCAACTGTACCAATTAACACAAATAATTGATGATCCTACACGTGTTACTAAATCTGCAAAATCAACACTTGATGTTTGCATTACTTCCTCTCCGGATAAAATTATTCAATCAGGCGTGGTGCATCTCAGTGTAAGTGATCATAGTTTAATCTATGCAACGCATGCATGGCCAGATATGCAACGCATGGCAATCTATGCAACGCATGCATGGCAACGCATGCATAGTTTAATTTATGGAACGCACGCTGAAGAGTGAATCTCTACGGACTGAATAACTCTTAGACTTGTCTTTACAGCTCGCTGTCTCGTACAGTGTCTCAACAGTACTGACTTCCTATTCATTAATGTCTTACGTAATGGCCATGCATTAAAATAACTTGGCAACACTTAATCACTAATTCAACCACTTAGCATGCAAATCAAACTGGTCGAATCAAATCGAATCATGTTAAATCAAACTAAGGTAATTATTAGTAATACTTAAACAGTTTGTAAACTGCCCGATCAACCCTCCGGGTCACGATTAAAGGGATTCTTCTTCTAAGATTCAACGACACCTTTGCACTGAACGTTTGTACTCTCCACATTTCGTCTTCAATTTTACATTACGTACGTACAACACTGTCTCGACCAGGGTATACCTCGATTACACGCGCTGGGTTCCATTTTCCTATTGCAACGTTTGAATCTACCATCAGTACGATGTCACCGATCTTGAACAACCTTTTTTTACTTTGCCATTTTGCTCGTTGCATCAACGTCTGTAGATACTCCTGATGGAACTGATTCCAAAACTGCTGTGCTAGCGCTTGTACGAACTCGAATCTCTTTTGACTATTCTTTGTTTCACAAAATAGACCTTGCGGGACTTCGGCTGTCGCACGACCGAGGATGAAGTGACTGGGGGTTATGGGTTAAAGATCGTTCGCGTCGTTGGAAGGGTATCCGAGGGGGGCGGCTGTTGACAAGACATTGCACTTCAGCAAACACGGTTGCCGCCATCTCATTCCACGTAAGAACTTGCTCTCCGACTATCACTCGTAAAACTTTCTTCGTCTGTTTGATCATAGTTTCAAAGAATCAACCTTGGTGTGGACTCAGCGGTGTGTTAAACTTCCATTTTACTTTGTGCACCATTGCAAACTCTTCGATTCTTTTCTTGCCTTCTTGGAGTAGCTTCTTTAGCTCACGTTCGCAACCGACAAACGACGTTCCATTATCCAAGATGATAGTGCTGGGCCATCCATGATGGGATACAAATAGTCTCAACGCATGAAGGAATTCGAAAGCTTTGCTTGGCAAATCTTCGACGATTTCAAGATGTATCGCACGAACTGTTGCACACGTGAAGAGGGCTCCCCACGACCATACTTCAAGAAAACGGACCAAACAAAGACGCCTGTCGTGGATAACGGTTGTGAAAAGACCTTTAGTCTTTCTGGTGGAAGGTATGCCATTAACGTGGTGTAAGGGTACTGTCGGAGTTTGCGACAGGTTACGCACTTTCTGACAATATCTTTAACTAGGTTTCTTCTTGGTGAGATCGAGAACTTTCTTCGAGTTTCGCATAAGGTTCTTTCTCGACCAGCATGACATACACGTGTGCATCTTTGATGACTAGTTTGGAAACGACGTGTTCTGTTGGCAATAACACCGGGTGGTTGTTGTCGTAGGACAGCGGCGAGTGCTTTATTCTACCTCCAACTCAGATGATTCCATCTTTCTTGGATGGCGCTAAGTCTTTATAGCGTTCTTTCCAATCTCCCAACTTCGTCTGGGCGCCAAGTGACCAGTAGCCCTCGGCCGAGGCAATTTCTTTGGGAAGAAGTGGACCGTTCGTACAATTCAACGATTTCGCGTTGTTAATAAATCTCATGCAATAAGCAGTGATTCTACATAACCTTTGCCAATTTGAGAATCGGGTCGGATCGATTATGGGATTGGGTATAGGCTGTAACACGAAAATGGGTTTGGCCATCTTCTTTTCTGGTACTTCAAGCGATGCGATGTTGGCTTCAGTTGGCACTCTTCCGGAAGTTCTCGTAAAAATGCAAGACCATTCATCCAGCGTCCACTAATTTCACAAACTTTTATTCCACGACTAAGGCCCCGATTACACTACACCGGTGCGGATTGCATCGGAGCGTCGCGATTTTCATACCGGATTCGACTGCTGTTTACACTACGCCACAGTAATCCGGTACGCGACGCGGTGTAAAAATCACTGTGCTTGGGAGGTGATATGAAAAGTAATTCGGTTTGTGCCGAAGCAGGCCAATCCGGTACGCTTCGGTATAAAATCGGTTTTGGCATACGTTTTACCATTGTCGCCCTTATTTGATCGCTTTTACAATATTTTAGATCTGTCGTTTGTTTCGCCTTACAATCTTTTACTACTAATAATAATAATGTTTAATATAAATACAGGAATGCCTATTCAGTGAAAATTCACTGTTATTATATCAACTAAGATCCTGTCGTTAGGTTAAAAATTGTTCTAAAAAAAGTTACAGTATTTACATATATATAAACTACGCTATCCTAATAAGGGTATATACAGAATATAAAAATCTGTAAAAAACGTACATGATTCAAATATTTAAGAAATATTTAAAAAAGCTTGCAGTCGCGCGTTAAAATCGTTAAAAGTCTCTGCTTTTCTTATGTTTAGAGGCAGTTCATTATATGTTTTTCCACCAAGGAAATAAAAGCCATTTTTGGCAGATTCGAGTTTAGTTGATAGTTGATAGTTTATTTGACACTAAAACTTACAGCTCCAGAATATAACTAATTCCACTGCTGAAATATGTTAGGTTTACAAGGATATTAAAACTAATTTTACATGTATTTGTTTAAGAAAACGAATAAGATTAGACTAAATACTTAAAAATACACATTCACATATATATACTGTATGCGCAGACTTATAATTTGTTACTAAAACACTCACTAATGCTAATTTAGATTAGGTTAAAAACCAGCATATTCGCGGTAAAAACAGTTTCTAAGTTATTCAAAAAACTTATTAGAGTTATAAGTGATAAAACTGTTCCTAAATCTGTTCGTTTTATGAAGTGGCACGTTAAATTTCCTATTTTTACGCAAAAAATGACTATTGTCATTATTTAATGGCGGTAACAAATCCGTTAATTTGTGCTCAGGATTATTTACTACGTCCTTAAAAAGTTTTGTTGTTAATTCCTGTCTTCTATCGTACAGTGATGGGGTGTTCGTGTTCCTCAATGCTTCTTTGTAGTGTTGATCTGGGAATATTATTCGAAAAGCTCGTTTCTGAAGTCTTTCAAGATCATCAGACAGGTATTTGGGTAATGAGTCGTGAAATGCTTGGCACGCATACTCGATGACTGGTCGAATACAGGTGGAGTAGAAAAGGATTAGGTCGTTAGCTGGTAATTTCGCTCGTTTTAGTTGTCTTAAAAAATATAGACGAGGTGCGACCTTTTTACAAACGTGTGAAATATGACTATTCCACTTCAAGTTATTTGAGATGGTTAGACCCAGCAATTTTACCGATGTTACACGTTCGACAATTTTCCCATTAATAGTAATTGGCTGGAACTCACGTATGCTTGGTGCAAAGCTTATACACAACTCTTTGCATTTTGATTCGTTTATCTGAAAACCGTTAGCTGTTGATTTCTGGTTAAATTCATCTACGTACTTTTGTAAGTTACTTGGACCATCTCCACAAACTGATTCCGACAAGGATGAGTCGTCAACATATTTCCATAACTCATTAACGTCCTTAACGCTTAGATCATTAATCATAATACAAAATAACCATGGGCCGAGCTTTGTGCCTTGGGGGACGCCGGCTGGGACCTTGCCCCATTCGGAATGGCAATCTTGGCTGAGTTTTACCCTCTGTTCTCGGTCAGTCAGAAAGTCTAAGATCCAAAGCATGACAGACCTCGGTATGTTATACTTTGTTAACTTCTCCGATAAAATATTGTGGTCTATTAAATCAAATGCTTTACGGAAGTCAAACGTCATAACTCGAGTTGTTGAACCGTTACCATCCGTATCCTTATTCCAAGTGTGTAGCATGCTTATAAGAGCATATGTCGTACAACTATCCGGCACCGTCCCAAATTGTTTACTATCGATCAATTCCATCACTGCTGGCTTCACATAAATCATTACAACAAATTCTTCTGCGAGTTTCGATAGAATAGGTGTAAGTGAAATAGGGCGTAACTGACGATTGATATCCTGGATGGGCTTTTCTTTCGGTATTGGAACTACGTCCGCCTTCTTCCAAACTGGCGGTAGGGTACATTCCCGATATGAACAGTTCAAGATGGCCGCTATCGGACCAGCTAATAGATCTGCGTTTTCTTTTAGGAGCCACGACGGTATGCCATCCGGACCATGAGCTTTTTTGGGATTAAGTTTGAGAAGGTTTTGGAAAACAGCATTCGATGTTACAGTAATTACTGTATCACTTTGTGCAGGTTGGATGAGATGTTGACGAGGTACTGAGGATAACGGCACATATCTAGCCATAGGAGCCAAAAAGGCATTATTAATCTCGTTGGCTAAATCTCTTTTATCAGAGCTAGAAGGGTCATCTCCTGGTCTCAGAGCTTTCACAATTTCATCTAACTTTAGGCAGTCTGATTGATAAATTATTGTTTCGGGTTCTATGTTCACCATCAATGATTTCAAAACATTTGTCAAAGTTTTCACCAACATCATTTTTAATGCATCGAAATGTAAGGCTACACAGTTTCTTCTTTTGAAGATCGCGAATTCGAGGGATCTTTATCGTGAGCTTTGAAGGTTCTTCGTTTTGAAAAACAATCCGCCGGGCTTTGCATTCGAAGTTTTCAAGTTGTTGCTGTATCGTCATCGTTGACCAAGGGTTAACTAATGGCATATACATTGTAACAGGGAGTATCATAGCATTGTACACTGTTGCAGCAGCTTTCATTGTCATCGATTTTCGTATTTTCAATAGCAGTTTAAGTCTTCCATGTGACCTTTTATAAATCTTGTTGAAGTGTTCTGCCAAGTTTAAAGTTTGATCAAGGAGAATACCGAGGTAGGTATATGAAGTTGTGTAATTCACCAACACCAACGTCTTGTTGTACATTATGTTCAACTCATGTTCCTTAATCTTGGACAAGTTTCTCCCAGTGCCCAACAGCATACATTCAGTTTTGCCTTTTTTCAGGTTCACGATCAGTTTGTTCTTGTCAAACCACTCCGATAAATGTGACATGTCTTGAGGTAGCTTTTGTTCTTTGGTTTTAACATCTTTGTAAGCATAATACAAAACAATATCGTCGGCATACATTAGAATTTTGCAGTTCTTTACCGGGAGACAAACACCATTAATGTGAATCAGAAATAGTAGGGGACCCAAAATAAAGCCCTGTGGGACTCCACATTCCTTCTCAACATTAGTTATACCATATTAAAAGAGTTTACATACTATAAAACTGTGACTAATAGTATCAAAAGCTTTGCGTTGGTCGACAAAAACTGCTCCACATAATTTACCCAAGTCCATTTCCTTACGAATGTTATCTAAAAATAATGTTGCAGCAATTTCCGTTGAGTGGTTTTTGCGGAAACCAAATTGTTGATTTGATAAAAGCTTATTTTATTCCAAGTAGAATATCGTTTGGCTATACACGCATTTCTCGAGGACCTTTGAAATCGTTGGTAATTTTGTGATAGGTCTGTAATTATCAATATCCGTTTGATTTCCAGATTTATAAATTGGGACAATTTTTCCACATTTGAATTCTGTTGGCATAATTCCTGTCGCTAATGATCTATTTATGATATGTGCTAGAGGCTTCGCTATATGCGTTGCTCCATCCTTAAGTAAGCAAGGTGGTATATCATCTAGCCCAGTTGCCTTTTTTCTATTGAGGCTCTTTAGATGTTTCATCACGTCGATACAGAAACATGGGCAAATTTGAAAACAGAGTTTGTATTATATTTATCAGAGACAAGTTTGTCCCAAACGGTACTTTTAAGAAGTGACAAATTTTCTTTCAAAATTGCAGCAGTTGTGAAAAAGTGATAAGAAAAACCATTTGCTATGACCTGTTTATCGAGTACCTTCTCCCTGTCTATTACCATCGATGAGCATGTATTCCCATTTTCATTTTTTGTAGGAAATGACTGTTTTATGCATTTGCAGAATTTTTCTGGGGATGAAACATTTTCCTCAAACAGTTCCTGATAGTAGTAATTGTCTTTTTCAGATTTCAATAAGTTATTTACGGAGTTTCGTTTCCTTTTATAGGCAGACCAATCGATTTCCTTGTCGGTTTTTTGTGCTTTAATTTTCTAAGTAGGCTATCTCGCTATTTCATCTCAGACTTTAGGCTTTCGTTCAGCCATGGACAAGGCTTCCTTCTGATGCGCTTTGTGGTAAACGGTGCATAGTTATCGAGAATGCCAGATAAAATAGCTTCAAGTTATGCCATGCATTGTTAGGACATCACATTCATATACTTCATCCCAAGACAGGCCTTCCAATGCAGAATTAATTATATCACAGTTATAGTTTTTATAGTTCCTGCTCTTAATTACCCTTGGGTCATATTTTGTATTGTTAATTTTTCGAATGCAACCAACCATATCGTGGTCACTTGATATTTGAATGATATTCACAGGGGCTGTTGTTGCAATGATAGCAATTAGGGACCGAGTTTGATCTCTGATTCGAGTAGGGGAAGTAACAAGTTGCTTAATCCGTTTTAGTTTACCCTTGACATTCGTTTTTAAATAATCACAATTTATGTCGCCCAAGATTAATTTTTCTCTGTCCTCTGAACCCAGATCTTCTAGGGATTTCTCGAAAGAGGCATCAAAGTCACTACTGAGGTGTTTTGAACTCTCCGGGCGTCTGTATAGAATACCAACAAAGAAACTGCTTGTGTGCTTAAAACAAATCTCTAACCAGAGCGTTTAAATTGAATCGTTTTCAAGATCGTATCTACGAATATATGGTACACCGTCTTTAATATACACACCAACACCGCCTCCAGTCCCTGAAACTCTATCGCTGAAACGCTAGTGTTCCAAAGGTCGTAGTTTCGTTTCCCACCGTGGCCAGGTATATTTTTCAAGCCTGCCCGGTAAGGAAATACACTCAGAGTAACATCACAAGCATCATGTCTTTAATCTCTCGATCTCGGAGAACAACATTTCCCACGATTGTTGCGCTTCTCTCGGTAGTGGGTCGTCCCAATCAAACTTCTGCGTCTTCCAGATGTCTTGGAGTTCTATTCTTGCTTTTCTCGTCACGGCTGAGGCTAATCCCAGTGGATCAAACAATCTGGAAATGTTTGATAAGATGATGCGTTTCGTGCAGAGCTCCGTGTTGTTTGACTTAATTTCAAAATTGATGGTATCTGATTTCGGATTCCAGGAAACTCTAAGCTTCTTGACTCCATCTTGTCGGTTAAGATTTACTTTGTCCACATCAGGTGTTCTTCGACTGGTTTCAAGGCAGGAGTTTGTAAGATTGAATCTTCCTTTGGCTCTGTCATGTCATCGCTCGAGGTATCTGGATTAGACGCGTTCTTTCTCTCATTCAATTGAGCTCGTAGTAGAGAGGAGGAACAATTCCATTCTTTGATCTTAAAACCACTGGCGTTGAGCATCTTCTCGATAGCAACGATTCTTTGAAGGGCGCCTTGCGTTGAAGAAAACGAATAGATAAGGTTATCGACATACCTATCTCGCTCGAGAATCTTGGATGCTTCTGAAGAGCGAACTCGGCTTTCTTCAGCGATCTTGAGCATCACAAAACTCGCCATATCGGGAGAATGTTTGTCACCAAAGGTCACACGAAGCAATACGTAAATTGAGGGCTCTTGTGATGTCTCCATGATCCTCCATAGAAAGCGGTGACTTGGCATCCTTTTTGGCCAACAGTATTTGCAAAAACATCTTCGAGATATTTCCTGCGAATGCGATTTGCTCTTCTCGAAACCGAAGCAAGACCCCAATTAGGTTTCCGATGATACAAGGTCCTTTGAACAGGAAAGAGTTTAGAGAAACTCCTTGGTAGGAACTGGCTGGGTCAAACAAGACTCTTAGTGGCGTACTCTTCTTCTTCGGGCGGTATATACCTTGATGAGGAAGATAATGTTCTGGACCGTTCGTATTCAGCGCCTCTTCTTTCGTCAATTTCTTCGCCCACCCATTTCTTTCGTACTCTTGAATGGTTTTTGTCATACGTCTTAGCCTTGTTTGGATTCTTTGCCAAATTTTTCTCGGATGACTCCAACCGACGCTTTGCTAACGAGTAGTTGTTTGGTAGATGCGCAGAATCTTTCTTCCACGGAAGGCCAATAACATATCTTTCATCCAATTTCACGCATGACGATTCGAACAGTTCTATCGCCTTCTTTCCATCTCGAGATAACGTTTTGTCATGATAACTGCAGTTAGGTGCTCGTACACCAAACGTTTCGAAGTCGTAGAACTTCTCCAAATTTATCTTCCTTGCAAAGATTGCGTATCTGACAGTCGAGGCCTTTGCGTTATCTGGACCAATGACATGCCATCCCAGCTTCGTCCGTTTTCCAACCGGTTGAAAGGGCAAGCCTTGCCGAACTTCGCTTTCTGCATTCAGGTGGCTATACTGGATTCCAATAATCAGATCTACTGGGCCAGCACGGTGAGGGAAATCGATGTCACTAAAATGATCAAATGATTGAAGCCAGATGCGATCAAGGGCAGGGATGTTGATGATGGTGTGGTCAATCTCGTTTGCTTCAACTGAGTAAGACTCGTTGCTGTTCAAAGGCAAAATCTAAAATTTCACTCGTCTGCTATTATTTTGCTGGATTCTTTCTACACCGACGACTGCAATATCTATCCTTTCTCGTCGTCCTTGTAAAGTTCTTTCTGATCACGGTCGTTCCTGCGCCACTGTCTATAAGGACGTTCTCTTCGCGGACTTTACCATTGTCGGACTTGAAACGAACTCTCACACAGGCATGATGCTATCCCTGTCGAGCGCTGACGTTGCAATATCTTTCTTATTATATAGTTTTCAAGTTCTGACTGAGTACAATCTTAATAATTACAAATATGGTGTTATCTGAAGCTGATGTATTAAATAAAACAAAAATGTCAGTTGTTCTGCGATACGGATAGTTTTGTATAGCATTTCTATACATGAAATTGTTATTAAATTCTACATGTCCAATGATTCATTCAAGTATTATTATTATATACCAATAGTCAAAGTCTCGTGTTTCTAGTGTTAAATTGGTCAAGGGCATATCACGTGAGAGTGACGAAATTAGACTGTCTCCCTCGCATCAGCGCGAGAGGGAAACAATACGTTATCGACCGGCGAATAACGAAAAAAGTCACGAGCGCCATAACGTGACCTTTGGACATGCCTAGTAATTTATTAAACTTTCGCTTCAAGTAACTGCAGTGTTTAATTTAACGTTTTAACAATAAAATATTTCATGTATTTACGTTCATTTGTTCTATAAATTATTGTTTCTTTGACTATTGATATATAATAAAACACTTATTTACTGAGACCTCGGGAAAGCAGTGTGTTTTGTGGACCCTCGACAAACATCGACGGACTCGTGTCCACAAAACACACTGTTTCCCTCGGTCTCAGTAAATAAGTGTAATTATTATATGGCAAGCATTTGTTTTGACGAATCGTGCAATTTGATTGGCTGCTGACGAGGCAGGATTTTCCCGTATATGCCCACGGGCAATACGCAATTTTTATTGCCCAGCGACGAGAGCCGAGTTTCCAACTGCAAAAAGTGTCTAAAAGTCTTTCAAAACTATTTAAAACGAAGAAAAATAAACCTAAACTAAAGAAAAGGAGCAACTGCTGTGGTTAAAGAACTTTCTCCATAAGTTTTTGTTAGCGAAAGTCAAAATTACAAGGTAAATTTTACAATGTTTATAACTATAAAAGCAGTCAGGAATAGTTGTGTTTTGACAATGCGAAGAGCTGCAAGAGGAATTTCACATCATCCTAAATAAAAAGTACATGACAAAAACAGCCACAGGTTTATAATTTTCCCCTGAAAATTTCTGTTTTTGTTAGATAAAAAGACACATAAACATCAGATGAAGCGAACTAAAAACGTACTTGTTTTTGTAATTTTATTGAACTTTATTGTTTTCATATTTGTTGTCTCTGATTAAATGACGAAATACCTCGTATTTTTCTTGAAATACTATCCAAACTGTGTTAGTATTATATATAAAAGGTACTGTAGAGCAGTTTTACTAACCAAAGAACATTTTTTACAATTTTTTTTGCAAACTGTTTCGGACTTTGTACTTTGCCCTCGCGTGACCTTTTCTTTCATTTTTTACAAACGTACAATGCCATATAATAAAAAACTTACTGACCTCAACCGTTCGGACAGTACGGTAAAATATCCAACCTCGATCTTGCTGTATTGACCTCGCTATCGCTCGGTCAATACAGCAAGATCTCGGTTGGATATTTTCCCGTACTGCCCTCACTCTCGGTCAGTAAGTTATTATTATCGTTCGTGAATATAAATATATGATATTGTACAGTATTCAGTGGCAAGCTAACCTGCGATCAGGCCTATAAATAAATATATACACCTGATACAAACTTTAACATGCCTTACAGCCATATTTCGGTTGTAAATCTAATTGGTCTATGAGACAAAAGATTTTTTAATCTGTCATTTGATTGGTTGGTGCTAATTAGATATTTATACTATTGTTGATGATTTATTTTATAGTGAGCACAACTATAATTAGATTGTTGTTGTCGTTGTGTGAAATTTAAATTTCTCCTGCGACATTTTGATTGGATACTAAATATAGACTTTGCTGTGGGTGCATGGAAAACTATCGGATTAATGTTTGTGTCAGGCTATATTTGTAAAATAGAGCCTGATCTCTGGTTAGTGGCGAGCTAGTCATTGCAACTGGTCATGCTATGCCTATGCTGATAAACATGCATCTATTTGAATGAAACAAATCATTATAAACTTGCATATCATGACCTGTTGCTATGGCTATCTTTACCACTGACAGCATTATAATTATACATACAAAAGCAAGAAGTTATAAGCATTGGAGGTAATCATACAAAACCGCCCATGCCAAAAAATTAGAATTCCTACCACCTGAACAGGCGCCTTAGGGGCTGTGTACATAATGGAAGGTGGGATGATTTTGTCTCCGAGCCGACGGCGCGAAGCGCCGTGCGAGGGTACTAATCCCCCCGGCTATTTACACCCGGGGAAACGAAGGCATTAGCGAAGTCTAAAGTTCATCAATTATCGCGGGCTTGGGTGACCAACGATGTTGGGTGGGTGGTCATTCTCAATGATCTAAAAAATATGGCGAACTGTCATCAATAGCGGACACCATTGATTGGTCCAATTTAAAGTTTGCCTTATAACGACTGCATGACGACAGCAAAATAGCAAACATTTCTTGATTTGATAATTGATAAATTTCTTGCAAATATATTTCATTTTTTCTTGCATTTTTGCAAGATTTTGTAAATTTCAAAAGCTCTCTCAGAAAGAAACTGCGAAAGAATCGGCTAAAAGAAGGGAGCCGACGTTAACGAAGGTAAGTTTGTTTTAAATATTGACTTTGTAATGAGTTTAAAACCCGACGGCCTTTGCGTATATGAAACAACTAAACAAGACAGCATATAATTTCAGTGTATCTTTAATATTGATTCCCTTTTTTATGACATTGAATTTTTTTAAATAACCGAAGAAAGCAAAGTTATTTGCAAGCGAAAATTTGAAATAATTTTATTGCAAACTCAAAGTTTATCGATAAAGCCATTTTAAAAGGCAGTTTAGTTTTATAAAGAACACTAGTGTGAGTAGTGACTTATTAATTAAAACGTTTTGCGAAGAGTTTGTTGAATTTTACCTTAAATTAAGACTTATATTACGTATAATAACATACATAACATATATATGTCGGGAAATTAATAATTTTGTAATTAAAAGTGATATTTTTAGGCGATTTTTTATTTGTAAGAATATTCTTAAAAATTATCGTGTTACCATGACAACTACTTTAGATACTTCATGTTCGGAAAATAGAAGTCAGCAAGGCGAGGGTTTCTGCATGCATGTATTTTCTAGTTGTATTGAAATAAGTCACTGTGCTAAACAAAAGTTTAAATGCTGGTTAACCGACCTCAAATGTTGTAGAGAAGATCTTGTGTTCAAGAAGATTATTATTGGTGTTTGAAAAAACCTTTCGTTTACAAAATGTTTAGGAATGAACTTTCCTTAAGCCTCATGTTAATAATATATTACTTGTTCAATTTATAGACCACAGTAAGACTTTTTTAAATGTGCTTATTACATTAACAAACGACGTTTCAGAGATTTACTCCATCTTCAGGTAGTAAGGACTAAAAAGTCTTGCTGAGGTCTATATATTGAACACAAAATATACTTTGGTTTACAGTTAACAACAAACTATCTCTAGAAAATAATGAAGTTTTTATTTATTTATTTATTTAACTTTGCTAATAAACATTACAACACAGAAAATACATATATGGACAATGGTAGGGAACATGCTACAGCTTACGCCAATTACAGCGGCCCTTACATATAAGATACGACATCACAAACACATTAAACTAATAACAACACGATACTTCACAGGACAGATTACGGGACTTGTTACAGGACAACATATTGATTTACATGTTCTTGGATCATCCACGTCGTAGAACGTTTGTAATGCTACTTTATAGTAGATAAAAAGTCCATTTTTTAACTGACTAAGGCTGGTGTTATTGCCTGTCAAGTTCTTTGGCAGTACATTCCACATTCTGGTACATCTATTTAAATAGGACTTTTGGAATGTGGTTGTCTTGCATCGTGTTGTCGTGAATGACAAATGGTCAGGATCGGATGATCTTGTTTCCCTTTGGCTGTTGACACTTGTTGGTTGAGGCAGGAAATGTTCGTCAATTCTCATGAGTCCATGAATTAGTTTGTAGAACACAACCATGTCCAGAAATTCATGCCAGTAGCTCAATGGAATAAGCCCTAAACGTGAAAGTCTCTGGTTGTATGTAGTTTCACAACGGAAGGGTAGATCCAAGACGTACTTAGTCGCGCGTCGTTGAAGTCTTTCTGTGCGTTGGATTAGATTGATGATTTGTGGTGCCCAGATTTGTGAACCATAGCATAGCTGCGTACGAACGAGAGTCAAGTATAGAGTGCGGCGAACTGCAATGTCTTTGATGTCGAACGTTGATCTACGAATGTATCCTAGGGTCTTGGAGGCTTTGGCGTACTGGTACTCGACATGTTTAGACCAAGTCAGGCTAGATGAAGTTAATATCCCAAGATCACGCTCACTGTCCGTGCTTCCTAGAATGGTGTTATGCAGCGTATACGGGTAGATGATTTTGTTGTGCTTACGGGTGACTCTTAACACTTTGCATTTGCTTGCATTTAATTCCAGGTTCCCGTTGGTCGAGCCTTTCTCAAATTTTGACAGGTCACACTGCAGAGCAGCTGCATCAGAGATGGAATTGATGGTCTTGAAGATTTTGGTATTATCAGCAAATGTAGCAATGTTTGAATTAGTCACAGCATTGGAGAGATGATTCTCGTACAGCAAGAACAACAACGAACCGAGGATGGACCCCTGTGGCACTCCTAATGTTACCGGGAGTGGTTTCGACGTTGCTTCGAGAACGGTTGTTTGCTGGTATCGATTGGTCAGATAAGAATTGAACCAATCGAGAACGCTCCCTCCAAACCCGAATTCGCGAAGACGATGTATTAACTCCACGTGACTTACTCTATCGAACGCCTTCGACATGTCCAAATAAAGTACGTCAATCTGCTTGCCGCGATCCAACTCACGGCCTATCTGTTCGAGAACTTCAATAAGCTGAGTGATGCACGATTTCCCAGGCATAAAACCGTTCTGACAAGGATTTATCTGCTCGTAAACGTGATATTTGATGTTATTGAATATACAACGTTCGAGAACCTTGGAGATGAGTGATAGCAGCGAAATTGGTCGGTAGTTTTCGACGTAAGTCTTCTCTCCATGTTTATGGACCGGGACCACGTTTGCAAGTTTCCAGACACTAGGAAGAACACCAACACGTAGAGACTTGTTAAATAGTGCACAGAGTGATGGGGTAATCTGCATGGCTGTTTCTTTCAACAAACGAGCTGGAATGTTGTCTGGACCTTGTGCTTTATTGCTATCTAAGTTCATTATCACAGTCATAACTTCTTCCTCCGATAATGCAATGTTATCAATTGTAATAACTTGTGAATGATCTTGGCGTTCAGAATTACTGTCAGGGTCAGACGTAAAGATGGAAGCAAAATATTCATTAAACATATTCGCTATGTCTGTGTTATTATCCGCATGTAGTCTTTCATTGTCGTTTTCCTTCATTGAAACTTTCCCTGGAATGTTACTGACTTTCGATTTTGTCTTAAAAAAGGACCAAAAGCGTTTTGGATTGTGATCACGCGACGCGCAGATTGTGTTCATGTATTTAAGGCGGCTGTCACGCAACATCTTTTTAATTGTAGAGCGGAGGCTTTTAAATTTATTTTTTAGGTACTCGCTTGGTGAGCTGGATCTTTTAATTTTCATTCTTAACGAGTTTTTCGTCTTGATTAAATGGAGGATTGTGTTATTCATCCACGGGAGAAACTTTCGAGCTTTTAAGTTTTTGACAGCGACAAACTGCTTTACCGCAACAAAAAACGCATTTTTCCAGTCCGACCAATCTTGGTTGATATCACCATTATCAGTTATTAACGCTTCAAGGCTAAGTGTTTGGAGATGGGCTCTTAGCCCATCAAAGTCCGCTCTACGATAATCAAACACAGATCTCTTTACTCTTGGTAATGGATTACACGCCGTCGTTAGATCAAAGATAATAGCACTATGGTCTGTTAAGATTTCCGAATCACTTGGTTTCAAAATTTCACTTATGCTTATCTTGTTAGGAATACTGCTTATAACGAGATCAAGGATATTGTTCTCTCTAGTGGGAAATTTGTTGATTTGTTCCAAGAAATAATCATCCAGTATTCTTATAAAAGTCTTTTCATTCACGCCTGTCGAATTTTCGCGCGAGTTCCAGCACGCGCGCAGTAAATTGAAGTCGCCAGCGAGAGCAATTTTTGAATGACGTGCGCAAACATCGTTCAAAAAATGTTCAAAATTTTCCATCCAAATTCTGTCAGCATTTGGTGGACGATAACAAGAGCAAATAAGTATGTTCGAGTTTGATATTGTTGTTAATTCAACCAGAACAATCTCCAGATTGTGATCATGCTTAATTTCACGCACAGATTTAAATAAACCTGTTCTAATTCCCAACAAAACTCCACCCCCGCGTCCTTCTCGATCATTTCTGACTATAGTATAACCAGAATGTAAAATTTCAGCATTATTTATACGGTCAGAAAGCCAGGTCTCATTAGAAAATACAACATCGATGTCTTCGGAATAAACAAAGTTCTGAAAACGTTCAAGATTACTCACGGTTTCCCCGTCATTTGTTTTTGTTACGCTCATCAAACTCCGTGCGTTGAGTCCAAGGCATTTTACGTTATTTTTAGACCGCTCAATCACAGGAGCTTGTATATCTGACCTAGGTAAGTTGCCAAACTGTGCATTTGTTATAGTAATGGGACCAGGGTTCGTAGCTATGTCACCAGCAAGGAGGATGCACAACACTAAATGCAGGCTTTTTTGTTTGATATTGAACTCTAAACCATCACGCAGCTTGCAAGGATAATTCAATTTCCGCACAGAAGTGTCTCGCGTTGACGTCCAAATGAAAATAAGTTTATCGGGCAAAGTTGTTAGTTCCGAAGATATGAATACGCAATCGGGGGTTTTAACATCGTCCAAAACAACGAGTTGTGGCTTAGCTCGAGTAGAAAGCCAAACAACAACAATGACAGTAGGGAGCCAAATGAGAAAAGTGTTTAAAACATTCAGAATGTATCTAACCATGTTTTATGTGGGGGAAATCCCCAAATATGAAACTGGAGAAGTTAAACAAGTCAAAGGTCAACTAAAGGACAGTACAATATTAAATGCAACATCGGGCCGTGAGAAAAATCACAATCAAACTGTACAACAAACAGCGATAATGAATAATAATCCATTTTTTACGAGTAAATAGACAAATACAATTCCATATGCACAGCTCGAACTTCTTTTCAGGCGAAGGAAACTTCATTACACGAACGTGAATGTGTTGCCATGACGAACGACGCTAGACGCAAATGATTCGAAATCCCAACGATCAAATATATAAAACCGCGTATTACAAAAATTTAATTTATCGCCAATATACCAAAACTTATCACGATCACAAGACCAAAGTACGTAGGATACAGAGTATATATTTATAAAGAAATCCAATAAGGGGAAGCCAAGACAAGGACCAACAAGATAAATCCCGATCGGTTGTGACAGACACTGTAACACGACAGACTTGAGACTTACACGATAGTAGTTCCAAATAATTACATAAAATCACAATCAAACAGCACGAGATGTATATCCACTGAGTCACAAGAACTTTATATTTATTTGACCCAATATATATATATATATATATATATAGATATAGATATAGATATAGATATAGATAT